CATTCATGTACGTACAACCTTTGGGGAGTGATTTTAAACACCTATGATGGTAAACATACTAATTGCATCCATTTGTTTAAACACTACAGCTTTGGCGACACCAAGAATGAATACATTGTGACACATGTTTTGATTGTTACAAACAAAATAGTGATTTGCAGTTGATTTCTACGATGTTTACCATGTTTACTTGGTAGTACTGGATGCGTATTTGACTTTCATTCGTGTTTATTCGTCTGCTAAACGAGTACAAATCAAAACGACAGAAGAAATAGGTAATTGGGCATTCTCTCTGAGAATTGGTGTGAGAGTGAATTTAAAGAAAACCAAGATTGTTGTGTTTAGAAATGTTGGTCCCTTGCACTCATATGAAAATTGGTTTTTAATGGAAATGTTATTGACACTGTATCATTTTACAAGTACAAGCCAGGGAATTGGTGATGACAAAATATTTATTGAATCAGTTAAACAGAGATTACATGATAATTTGTTCCAATCTTGGCAATCATCTTTGGATAGCAGCCATAAATGTTCTTATTATAAGCAATTCAAATCTATATCAAATGTAGAGAGCTATTCGGTAAAGAATGATACCCCTCAACATTTAAAAATTATATATGCCCGATTTCGGTGTTGAAAAAGTACAGACCCGTGCCAGATATATTCGGACACTTGACGTAATTTCCATAGACTTACATGTTATTTAGGTGTAGCATAAATAATTTTCATGAAGTGAGTTTAGGGTGGATCTTTGTAAAATTTGACAGACAAATTTGAAATCATCTCTTCTCTGCGCACATAATTTCAGTTCAGTTTTCCGACCACTATTTAACTAATGGCATCACATTTATCTACTTACGTATGGTTCCACAATGCACAATCCCATAGGCCGCCATGTTAAAGGAGTTCACGGCACTGTACATATGTTGATTAAATTGTTGCCATTCGATAAATAAGCAACGGAAAAAATTAAACAGAAATTATGTGATTGTAGGTAAGACGATTCCACACAAATGTGCAAAATTTGACATGGGTCATACGAAAATTAAATTCATGAAAATTATTTATGCTACACTAAATTAATATGTAAATCTATGGAAGTACGTCAAGTGTCCGAATATAACTGGCACGGGTTTGTAGCAGTTGAAACTGGTGCATGCGTAAATGTTGCGTATAATGAAAGGCTTTGTCTGTTTTGTAAATTAAATGGTATCTTCGTTGCATGTGTTTTATATCTGTGATGCATATTCTCATATCAGAAATAAGAACATATCAAAATATTTTAGTAAATGTCCATCAATTATTAATTTTATATCTATATTACAGAGTAAAAATGTTAATATCATCTAGGTGAGGTGAGGTGAAATGGGGTTTAACGTCGTGCTTGAGAATATTTCGCTCATATGACGACGTTAATATCATCAAGGATGTATGTCTATTTTTATACTATGTTGACAAGGAACACAAATCTAAATGCGACGGTCAAAAACGCTCACCTACATTTAGATGTATCTATATATGGTAACCAAAGAAGTATTATCTATGAAGATGTATCCTCTACGTAAATGAAAGTATCGCCTACGTAGCTGAAAGTTAGATGATATTTCTCAGAACGTGGCTCCCGTATGCTAGCCCTCTTTACTCTGTGGCTGATGCTGTGAAAAGACCTACAAAAGTTCACACGTGTAACATAGTCACATATGCTAAGGGGCGGTGGGGTAGCATAGTGGTTAAAGCGTTGGCTCGTCACGCCGAAGACCCGTACATTGTGTGAAGCCCTTTTCCGGTGTCCCCCGCCGTGATGTTGCTGGAATATTGCTAAAAGCGGCGTAAAACCAAACTCAGTTCGCTAACTATGTATTAGTTTCTTCAGCCTTGTACTTTGTTCTCGGATGCGTTGTTATCGTAATCTGTTGTGAACGGCCAACATCATCATGACTATACAGCATTTCAAGCAATAGTGCACATAGGGTTCAGTAATGCGTGCGTGCCTGCATGAGTGTGTTGCGGTCTTTCATGGGTCATTAGCAGGTACATATTGCGTGGTTCATGTTTCATAAGAAGTCCACAACTACACAACGTCCTAGTAACATGATTCAGAGGAAATGTATCACACACACTGTGATGCCATGTTCGGATGACATGGGGGCAGTGCGTAGTGTCGTCCCGGGAAGGCTCAAATATATTTTTCAGATGTCCCGGGAAGGCTAAAATGTATATTTTGGATTTTCCGGGAGAGCTAATTTCCAAGGGAGTAGGGGAGACTGTCAAAGCTAAAGATACGGTACCGGGAAGCATAATACATGTCGGGAGTAGATAGATTTCTTTTCAAAACATTGTAATAGTAGAGTGTTTATCTTCTTCGCTTGTTTAGAACTTTAAGATGAAAGGGGACCGATGAAAGTAATCACAGGGGAATCACCATAAACAGCTGCTTTTCAAAACTCTTTTCCTCGGTATTAACAGCGAGGCTTGTTTCATGGCCTAAAAATACAACATCATCTCTGATGCTCAGTTTGGTTTCAAAGCTGGTTACTCAACTGTATTTATACTACGAAACCTGATTTCGATGTACACCCAAGAAAAGAAGAAATTATATTGGTGCTTTGTTGATCTAGTCAAAGTGTTTGACTCTGTTAATCGTGACAGTCTATTTCTGAAGTTCAATCTGGTGGGCATCAGAGGAAGACTGTGGAAAATTATCGTGTCTATGTATGACACTGTGAAATCATGTGTTAAACGCAATGGTGAGTTATCTGGTTTCTTTCTATTCTTTTCTCTCTATATCTTGAAGATATTGAAGTAGCACTATAGGAAAATATCGACGCGGGGTTGCTGCTTGACTATATTAAGCTTTTTATACTACTGTTTACCGACGATATGGTGCTCATATCCGAATCACCTGGAGGTTTACATTTGTCACTTAATACGCTTTCCAGTTATTGCACAGACTGGAGCATTGACGTTAATGTAGACAAAGTAACATTATGCTTTTTACGTCAAGTAGGGAAGAATCGACCGGAGGAAGTATTGTCCTAAATATTTGCAGTTTAGAAAGTTATATATCCAAAGCATCTATTGGGTTAGACCAAGTATTTATAAGTCTATGTCACTGTTTAGATATTCCAATAAATCTGCCTTGCAAAACTTAGCTAAATACATTAAACTCTCTTATGATTATTTTAAGAACTCAAACACAATACATAAACTGACTGTAAATACTTCTTTTGTCCTTTACAGGCCTGCACACCGTGTGGTTTTGGGACGAAAAACACATTTGTTCAAGTCCCAAAAATATCTTCGTTCGTTCTACTTCTTTCTTCTTTATTCAAGTGGCGTTTGTATTGCAGATGTATTTAATTGAACTACTCAAATTGTCGTAAACTTGAAGAAGATTGACGGAAATGTGTTTCGCTCGACCAGGGTTCGATTCCCCACATGGGCACAATGTGTGAAGCACATTTCTGGTGTTCCCCGCCGTCAAATTGTTGGAATATTGCTAAAGGCGGCGTGAAACATAACTCACTGAGATCACATAGCGTAGAGACTCTCAGTAATACACGGTGTCAAGGATGTATGACACACAGGGACTTTATTACAACACTGGGTCAAGTTACCATGACACACAGGCACTTCAATACTTTGTTCTCGGTTTTGTGTGTTACGGTATTTGTTGGGTCATTTAAAACTACATATCGCATGGTTCATGTTTCATAAGCAATCCATTACTACACAACGTCCTGGTGACATGATTCAGGTGCAAATTATTACCACACACTATCATGCCATGTTCAGATCACATGGCGTACAGACGTCTCAGTAATACAGCTTGGTAAGGTACCTTGGCACTCAGGCACTTCATTACCACACTAGGTCAAGGATGCATAGCACACAGGCACTTCATTAATACTCGATGTCAAAGATGCATGACACATAGACACTTCATTACTACACGGTGTCAAGGATGTATGGCACACAAACACTTCATTACTACACTAGGTCAAGGATACATGGCACACAGGCACTTCATTACTACACTAGGTCAAGGATGCATAGCACACAGGCACTTCATTACTACTCGATATCAAAGATGCATGACACATAGGCGCTTCATTACTACACGGTGTCAAGAATGTCTGGCACACAGGCACTTCATTACTACATTAGGTCATGGATGCATGGCACACAGGCACTTCGGTGTTAAGAATGTCTGGCACACAGGCACTTCATTACTACACGATGTCAAGCATGCATGACACATAGGCACTTCATTACTACACGGTGTCAAGGATGTATGGCTCAAAGGCACTTCATTACTTTGTTCTCGGTTTTGTGTGTTACGGTATTTGTTGGGTCATTTAAAACTACATATCGCATGGTTCATGTTTCATAAGCAATCTATTACTACACAACGTCCTGGTGACATGATTCAGGTGCAAATTATTACCACACACTGTCATGCCATGTTCAGATCACATGGCGTACAGACGTCTCAGTAATACAGCTTGGTAAGGTACCTTGGCACTCAGGCACTTCATTACTACACTAGGTCAAGGATGCATGACACATAGGCACTTCATTACTACACTAGGTCAAGGATGCATGACACACAGGGACTTCATTATTACACTAGGTCAAGGATGCATGACACATAGGCACTTCATTACTACACGATGTCAAGGATGTATGGCTCATTCATCTCATTACTACATAATGTGAAGACATTAAGCTGATACTGTTCAACGCGGCGATAAACCAGCTGAGTCACATGGCATCATTTTCACGCCAGGTACAGGTAAGCAGTGACAGAACTGATAACCCAGCTCAGCAGCTCAAACACGGCGGCTTATCGCTTGTGAAATTATCACAACGTGTGGGACAGTAACCAACGGGTTGCTCTCGCTGACTACCGCAAGTCAAGTTTCTTATGATACACTGGCCTTGTTTGCTGGTACATTTGTTGGTGTGTCAGTTTCTCAAAAAAATACCCTGGAACAGACATGGAGGAGAAGGACAAAGGAAGTTGTACTGGCCTGCCACGTAGAGGGATTATTACCATTATCGGAAGCATCTGTATTGTGTTTAGCATGGGCAATGGCTATACTTTCGGTGAGATCGATTTAACTGTTTTAGTCGTCTTGTGGGATAAAATTGATGTAGATGATACTGAGTGAGCTTTTACGCCACTTTGAACAGTATTGTTTTTGGTGATATCGACCCGTGAAGTTCCAAGGTAGAATAGGTCTTCAGCAACCCACGCTTGCCACAAAAGGCGACTATTATGTCGTAAGAGGCGACTAACGAGATTGGGTGGTCAGGCTCGCTGACTTGGTTGACACATGTCATCTTATCCTAATTGCGCATATCGATGCTCATGCTGTTGATCACTGGATTGTCTGGTCCAGACTCGATTATCTACAGACCGCCGTCATATAGCTGGAATATTGCTGAGTGCGGCGTAAAACTAAACTCATTCACTCACTCACTCACTCACTCACTCACTTTGGTGATATCATGGTGTGTCAGATTAATGTGTGATATTTTCATAGATATATTCTATACGTACAATTTTCTGAGTCCTTGAAACCATAGACGACAATGATACTGACTTCATCTGTATGGTCGCTTCAAAGCCGGTTTTGCTGTCCGCCAAATACAGTGTATTTTCCAGTATGTTTGGTGGTGGCAAATCAGCAGATGTATCAATTATACCATCTCTAGTGTTGATATAACCGGTCACGTGATGACACGTTACCGATAACACTGAATACACAGGGTTACTGTATATGTACAGCCCCTGATACACACATGAGTTGACGCCGTCACGTGATAAATATAGTCACGTGTGTACTTTTAGACATGTATGGAAAAAATCACATATATATATATTGAGATAAATGCGAACGCGGTACATATCAACCTTGCATAAGGCGCCGTTTTACTATTCAATATTTTAAGTTTTTCATTACTTCGTTTTTGAGATATCGCGTGATGTAGGGTCGTGTTGTAGCTTTCGGGTCACAACGGCTCTCCATTGTCTTGGATGGAGTGGTTCTGTGAATTGACAATTTAAAGATGCTTGTCATATCTAGAACAAACAGCTTAGCTTTCTGATTTCGAGAGCGTTAATATACGTCCAGCCTGGAAAGACTAAGTGTCATAATTTTCACTCACTCTCTGTTTTATAATACAACCACAACACTAGCATTTTTTTAGCATTTTGGGATGAGCTACGAATTATACCCATTTTAGCTGTAATAGGTGTCCCGCTATTTTTAGGTCATTAGCATTTGCAACAAACCACACGGTCTGATCAACTGAGCTCATCCCTCAACTCAACTGAAATGATGATGTTCAGGTTTAGCTTTATGTCATAGCTAAAATGGATGGAATTGTCATGAATAAACCCGCATGTTATCTGAACCCCACTGGCCTATTTAACTTGATAGCGGCCTGCACTTCCTGTGGTGGTGTGACGTCATTTGCGTCACGTTTCCTTTTTGTGACGTTGTTCTATAATTGTTCTATGACGTGCTGTAAAAAGACATTTTGTGTTGTCTGTTCAAAACCATGACAGAGCATACGTTTATTGCGAGTTTTAAGATGCTTCGGTGAAAGATCAAAGGCGCCGACAGTACTTTATCAGACGATAATGTGCACTTTTTGCTTTACGTCACAATGTAATGTCATTCTAGTCTGCCCCCTCGTAATCGAATAATTTTGCATTTCGTCACAATGTAAGCGACTTCACGATGCATGTCAGTTGCCATCGCTTCGTACAGCCTCCTACAGTAAACTACTCCGTTGCATCCCGTTTCTGGGTTTGCAGTTGCTTCACGCAGCTAACGTCACTGGTGGAGATATTACGTTTATGTTTTCCGACGTTTTAAATGTCTCAATTCGAGTCACAAGTTTTCAGCGACATGGTAACGTTCGCAATGTTTACATTCCCACAAAGCGTTATCCGAATGTACTGATCTAAACTTACTTTGGTAGGAGAAATACGACGTTCATATTGCCCCATATAGTTTACGTTAATCACAGATGTAATTAAAATATTTCAGAGAAGATATTAAATCCGAACGTAAACCGTCATCAAACATTTTATCATTTGTATTTCCTGGTAACGTTCGTCTTAACGTAGGGGGGCAGACACATCAATAGAACAGCCCGCCAGTTAGCCCTCTGCGAAGATTCTTAATTTAGGTCAACGGCACCGTCGTTTGTTTCTGCCTTAGATTAATCGTAATTATCCTTAGAAAGTATTAAATTTGGCATCTTGGAAAAGAAATACAGTTCGCTCTACCACCATGTATAGTGTAATAAAGCACACTTTCGCCCTGAACTAAACTGATGTGCAAAAGAAAGTACACAGCTCGTGTTTCTTCCAATAAGATAAAAATAACAAAACCTTTAGATGAAATGGAAAATATGTGTTGAAGCACACTGCAATACACGTGTTTTATCAGCAAAATGACATTGTAACAATAAACAGCAATGTAGTGATGACCACTGCAGACGGTTCCTGCGATGCTGGAAGGCTAAGGCCATTCCACGCAGCGGTTGGTAGGCCCATACATGCCAGCAGGACGAAGTCGTCTTGTCACTGTGAATCGGCTTACGCGATGATCCAATGATGTGGCTGGTGATGACGTCACCGTCAACATCCAGTTGCATAGGTGAATAACCCGCATATAGCGATCCTCTTAGGGTGTTGTGACTCTGGGTCGATCACATGTCTGGCCTGTCGTACTGAAACGGTTAAACAGCCGAATTATGGTTTGTCTTGTGCAACCCAATGTCCTTGCAATATCACTGTTGAAGGCACCCATTTGTGTCATTCCTTTGGCCCATTCTCGTTGCGCCGACGTCAATCTTGGCATTTCCTCGTGAGATTTCTGTCAAGTGATTGTTCAGTCTTCAGGACAAACAGGTTTTATACTCTCTGTCAGAAAAGTGCTGGTGCATGGGACAATAATCACAATTTTGCAAAATTCGTGCAAAACACGTACACATGTTTTTGGTTGTATTTTTGCAAATGAAACATGATGGTTGCGTTCTATACAATCAATATTTTTCAAAAATGTTATTAGTTAGAACGCATATTTGGGATTGCATCAACAATTACACATGTGCACTCTCTTTTGTTCGTCAGTTTATTATAACGTTAACGCACTCGGACGCAAGCACACCCACAGCCAAATACAAGCATGCTTGAGACATAAATATATATCTCATTTTTACTATCCATTCACAGTGGACAGGTACTCTATGAGTAACAGAACATTCGCTCAAATATAACTCATACGTAAACAATTTCAGCAAGTCTCACTCACAATATTGTTTTTACTTCCTGTTGTGTCGTTAATTCAATCTCGTGATTACTGACTGAACACATCAAACAAATTATTCATTTTCGCTATTACACGAAACACTTTGGTCGGGTATTTTCCAAATCATTTCCCCTAAAGATTTCTCGACCGTCTTGAATATATGCTGATGTGAGTTACACCGTATTTTAGCAATATTCCAGCAATATCACGGCGGGGGACACCAGAAATGGGCTTCACCCATCGTGCCCATGTGGGAATCGCTTTTCTGCGTGACAAGCCAACGCTTATACTACTAGGCCACCCCACCGCCCCGATGATAAAAGTTGCCAATAAAAGTAAAACCAAGTACTAGGTGTAGTCAACACATAATTGCTGGTAGCCTTAGTGTTATGTTGTAAATCTTTTATTGCAGGTAATTTTAACCCATACATTACCTCCTACTTGCGGAACAGGAGTGCATCAACTGACGTTGCGTATGCCGACTCTGTATGGATTTCAACAGCCAACATCATCGTCTACGGCCTGACGATGCCGGTACTCACTCTACTGGAACGGAGGCTGTCTGCTCGAGGATGCATACTCATAGGAGGTATCATATACAGGTGAAATAGGGTACTTGTATATTATATTTTGATAAGTAGATAACCCAAAAGGTGAAAATACAATGTCAAAATAATTGTTTGCTTACCATGGAGAAATTGCAATTGATAGGAGTTTTGGTAAGATGCTAAATGGGAAAGCATGCCCACTACAAATGAAGGATGCACTGCTTCTTAAGCCAGTCCGTTTCTAGCGATATTAACGATCAAGCGCTTTCTATAATCATGAAAACAATCTTGAAAAAAATCTGCTGTGCGATTGTACCTGAATCTTTTTGTAATTATCAGCTGGTTTCACTGACCGACTGATAGTCTACATATTCAGCAATATTCCAGCAAAATCACGGCGGTGGACAAAAGAAATGGGCTTCACACGTTTTACCCATGTGGGGAATCGAACCCGGGACTTTGGTGTGACTAGCGAACGCTCTAACCACTCAGCTAACCCACCGTCCCTTCACTGGCTTCATATATTTTGAGTTCAGATGGGTAATTAAGGGGTAGGGAGTACAAATCTTAGTTATCAGATCATGGTCATTACTATTCACCATCCGGAACAGCCCGCATACGTTCGTTTTCGAGATGAAAGTCAGATATGCTGCTCGCACATTAGAAAGTCAGATATGCTGATAGCACATTAGAAAGTCAGATATGCTGATCGCATATTAGAAAGTCAGATATGCTGATCACATCTTAGAAAGTCAGATATGCTGCTTGCACATTAGAAAGTCAGATATGCTGCTCGCACATTAGCAAGTCAGATAGGCTCCTCGCATATTAGAAAGTCAGATATGCTGCTCGTATATTAGAAAGACAGATATGCAGCTCGCTTATTAGAATGTCAGATATGCTGATAGCATATCAGAAAGTCAGATATGCTGCTCGCATATCAGAAAGTCAGATATGCTGCTCGCTTATTAGAAAGTCAGATATGCTGATAGCATATCAGAAAGTCAGGCATGCTGATCGCACATTAGAAAGTCAGATATGCTGATAGCATATCAGAAAGTCAGGCATGCTGATCGCATACTAGAAAGTCCGATATGTTGCTTGCACATTAGAAAATCAGATATGCTGCTTGCACATTAGAAAGTCAGATATGCTGCTCTCACATTAGAAAGTCAGATATGCTGATTGCATATTAGAAAGTCAGATAGGCTGCTTGCATATTAGAAAGTCAGATAGGATGCTCCCACATTAGAAAGTCAGATATGCTGCTCGCATATTAGAAAGTCAGATATGCTGATAGCACATTAGAAAGTCAGATATGCTGATAGCATATTAGAAAGTCAGATATGCTGCTTGCACATTAGAAAGTCAAATATGCTGATAGCATATCAGAAAGTCAAACATGCTGATCGCATACTAGAAACTCAGATATGCTGTTCGCACATTAGAAAGTCAGATATGCTGATCGCATATTAGAAAGTCAGATATGCTGCTCGCACATAAGAAAGTCAGATATGATGATCGCATATTAGAAAGTCAGATATGCTGATCGCATAGTAAAAAGTCAGATATGCTGCTCGCATATTACAAAATCAGATATGCTGCTCGCATATTAGAAAGTCAGATACGCTGATCGCATATTAGAAAGTCAGATAGGCTGATCGGATATTAGAAAGTCAGATATGCTGCTCGCACATTAGAAAGTCAGATATGCTGATAGCATACCAGAAAGGCAGCCATGCTGATCGCATACCAGTAAGTCAGATATGCTGATAGCACATTAGAAAGTCAGATAGGCTGATCGCGTATTAGAAAGTCAGATATGCTGCTAGCATATTAAAAAGTCAGATATGCTGATCGCATATTAGAAAGTCAGATAGGCTGATCGCATATCAGAAAGTCAGATATGCTACTTGCACATTAGAAAGTCAGATATGCTGATAGCATACCAGAAAGGCAGCCATGCTGATCGCATACCAGTAAGTCAGATATGCTGATAGCACATTAGAAAGTCAGATAGGCTGATCGCGTATTAGAAAGTCAGATATGCTGCTCATATTAAATAGCATATTAGAAAGTCAGATATGCTGATCGCATATTAGAAAGTCAGATTATGCTAAGATAGCACATTAGAAAGTCAGATATGCTGCTCGCACATTAGAAAGTCAGATATGCTGATCGCATATTAGAAAGTCAGATATGCTGCTCGCATTATTAGAAAGTCAGATATGCTGCTCGCATATTAGAAAGTCAGATATGCTGCTCGCACATTAGAAAGTCAGATATGCTGATAGCATATTAGAAAGTCAGATATGCTGCTCGCACATTAGCAGATATTAGAAAGTCAGATATGCTGCTCGCATATTAGAAAGTCAGATATGCTGATCGCATATTAGAAAGATAGGCTGATCGTCAGATATGCTGCTCGCATATTAGAAAGTCAGAGATATGCTGCTCGCACATTATTAGAAAAGCTCAGATATGCTGATCGCACATTAGAAATTCAGACATGCTGATCGCATATTAGAAAGTCAGATATGCTGATAGCATATCAGAAAGTCAGACATGCTGATCGCATACTAGAAACTCAGATATGCTGCTCGCACATTAGAAAGTCAGATATCCTGATCGCATATTTGAAAGTCAGAAATGCTGCTCGCACATTAGAAAGTCAGATATGCTGATCGCACATTAGAAAGTCAGATATGCTGATCGCACATTAGAAAGTCAGATATGCTGATCGCATATTAGAAAGTCAGATATGCTGCTTGCACATTAGAAAGTCAGATATGCTGCTTGCTTATTAGAAAGTCAGACATGCTGATAGCATATCAGAAAGTCAGACATGCTGATCGCATAGTAAAAAGTCAGATATGCTGCTCGCATATTACAAAATCAGATATGCTGATCGCATATTAGAAAGTCAGATATGCTGATCGCATATTAGAAAGTCAGATATGCTGCTCGCACATTAGAAAGTCAGATATGCTGATAGCATATCAGAAAGGCAGACATGCTGATCGCATACCAGAAAGTCAGATATGCTGATAGCACATTAGAAAGTCAGATAGGCTGATCGCGTATTAGAAAGTCAGATATGCTGATCGCATATTAGAGTGTCAGAAATGCTGCTCGCATATTAGAAAGTAAGATATGCAGCTCGCACATTAGAAAATCAGATATGCTGATCGCACATTAGAAATTCAGACATGCTGATCACATATTAGAAAGTCAGATATGCTGATAGCATATCAGAAAGTCAGACATGCTGATCGCATACTAGAAACTCAGATATTCTGCTCGCACATTAGAAAGTCAGATATCCTGATCGCATATTAGAAAGTCAGATATGCTGCTCGCATATTACAAAATCAGATATGCTGCTCACATATTAGAAAGTCAGATATGCTGATCGCATATTAGAAAGTCAGATATGCTGCTCGCACATTAGAAAGTCAGATATGCTGATAGCATACCAGAAAGTCAGACATGCTGATCGCATACCAGAAAGTCAGATATGCTGATAGCATATCAGAAAGTCAGATATGCTGATCGCATACTAGAAACTCAGATATTCTGCTCGCACATTAGAAAGTCAGATATCCTGATCGCATATTAGAAAGTCAGATATGCTGCTCGCACATTAGAAAGTCAGATATGCTGCTCTCACATTAGAAAGTCAGATATGCTGATCGCATATTAGAAAGTCAGATAGGCTGCTCGCATATTAGAAAGTCAGATAGGATGCTCCTACATTAGAAAGTCAGATATGCTGCTCGCATATTAGAAAGTCAGATATGCTGATAGCACATTAGAAAGTCAGATATGCTGATAGCATATTAGAAAGTCAGATATGCTGCTTGCACATTAGAAAGTCAAATATGCTGATAGCATATCAGAAAGTCAAACATGCTGATCGCATACTAGAAACTCAGATATGCTGTTCGCACATTAGAAAGTCAGATATGCTGATCGCATATTAGAAAGTCAGATATGCTGCTCGCACATAAGAAAGTCAGATATGCTGATCGCATATTAGGAAGTCAGATAGGCTGATCGCATAGTAAAAGGTCAGATATGCTGCTCGCATATTACAAAATCGGATATGTTGCTCGCATATTAGAAAGTCAGATATGCTGATCGCATATTAGAAAGTCAGATATGCTGCTCGCACATTAGAAAGTCAGATATGCTGGTAGCATACCAGAAAGTCAGATATGCTGATCGCATATTAGAAAGTCAGATATGCTGATCGCACATTAGAAAGTCAGATATGCTGCTAGCATATTAGAAAGTCAGATATGCTGATCGCATATTAGAAAGTCAGATATGCTGATCGCATATTAGAAAGTCAGATATGCTGCTCGCACATTAGAAAGTCAGATATGCTGATCGCATATTAGAAAGTCAGATATGCTGATCGCATACCAGAAAGGCAGCCATGCTGATCGCATATTAGAAAGTCAGATATGCTGATCGCATATTAGAAAGTCAGATAGGCTGATCGCATAGTAAAAAGTCAGATATGCTGCTCGCATATTACAAAATCAGATATGCTGCTCGCATATTAGAAAGTCAGATATGCTGATCGCATATTAGAAAGTCAGATATGCTGCTCGCACATTAGAAAGTCAGATATGCTGGTAGCATACCAGAAAGGCAGACATGCTGATCGCATATTAGAAAGTCAGATATGCTGATTGCACATTAGAAAGTCAGATAGGCTGATCGCGTATTAGAAAGTCAGATATGCTGATCGCATATTAGAAAGTCAGATATGCTGATCGCATATTAGAAAGTCAGATATGCTGCTCGCACATTAGAAAGTCAGATATGCTGATAGCATATTAGAAAGGCAGATATGCTGATCGCATTACCAGAAAGTCAGCCATGCTGATCGCATACCAGAAAGTCAGATATGCTGATAGCATATTAGAAAGGCAGCCATGCTGATCGCATACCAGTAAGTCAGATATGCTGATAGCA